CAAACACACAGACACACAGACACACAGACACACAGACACACAGACACACAGACACCACAGACACACAGACACACCGACACACAGAGAGACACACAGAGAGACACACAGAGAGACACACAGAGAGACACACAGAGAGACACACAGAGAGACACACAGAGACACACAGAGACACACAGAGACACACAGACACACACAGACACACACAGACACACACACACACACAGAGACACACAGAGACACACAGAGACACACAGACACACACAGACACACACAGACTCACAGAGGCACACAGAGACACACCGAGACACACGGAGACACACAGACACACAGACACACAGACACAGACACACACAGACACACACAGAGACACACACACACAGACACACACAGACACACACAGACACACACAGACACACACAGACACACACAGACACACACAGACACACACAGACACACACAGACGCACACAGACACACACAGACACAGACAGACACACACAGACACACAGACACGCAGACTCGCAGACACGCAGACACGCAGACACGCAGACACCCAGACACACAGACACAAAGACACACAGACACACAGACACGCAGACACACAGACACACAGACACACAGACACAAAGACACACAGACACGCAGACACGCAGACACCCAGACACCCAGACACACAGACACACAGACACACAGACACAGACACACACACACACACACACACACACACACACACACAGACACACACACAGACACACACAGACACACACAGGCAGACAGAGACACACACAGAGACAGACAGACAGAGACAGACAGAGACAGACAGACAGACCGACAGACAGACATAGACAGAGACACACACAGACACATACAGACACACACACACACACAGACACACACACACACACAGAGACACACGGACACACACACAGACACGGACACACACAGACACAGACACAGACACACACAGACACAGACGCAGACACACAGACACAGACACACACACACAGACACACACAGACACAGACACACACACAGACACAGACACACACACAGACACAGACACACAGACACACACAGAGAGACACAGACAGACACACACACACACACACACACACACACACACGCATGCACACTTGCTTTAGTCCTCTTGGTGTAAATGTGAGTCGGGAATGTGGTTTTTTCTTTCTCATTTTCTCCGTATTTTGTTTTGATGTTGATGGTCTTCCAACTCAATCTTCTACTTTGTTGTGTCGTCATCTTTCGATCGCGAATCTCAAGGCTCATCTAAGCAGGCACAACGCCAGAAAGACATGCACTCGCTCTGATTCAACAACATGTTGTCACCCAAGCAAACACTGAAGCCAAGATTAAGTCCACCAGCTATCCACCACGAGATCCAGGTGCGACTTTGCAGGTACGTGTCTGGCTTTCCGAGTTTTGGGGGTGTAGGGTTTATAAATGGGTTTAGGGTTCAAGGTTTTTGGTTCTGGCTTTCCGGATTTGGGGGTTTGGGGTTTAGGGGTTTAAGGTTCAATTTTTCTGGTGTCTGGCTTCCCGATTTTGGTCTGGCTTTCCGGATTTGGGGGTTTTAGGGTGCAGGGTTTAGGGGTTCAGGCTTCAGGGTTTAGGTTGGCCGACCGGGTAGCGACACAAAATCAACGTTCCGCTGGTCTGGATTGCTTTCTTTGCACCGGGGTTGTGCGGACACACGGCCGTGGGGGAGCGGGCCTCAACGAAGACGAAGAAAATGCGTGCTTTCAGACACGAGAGTTGCAGCACTGCTCCAAAACGCATCAGAGAAATGCGACACCGGAGGTAGGCGGTAGGCCCGAGGATGTGTAAATTACCAGCCCCTCCCGAAGTGATCCCTAAACCAAGAGAGAGAGAGATCCGGGGGGCCCTGGTGGCCGAAGGACTTTAACAGTCCCGCATGCCCTGGAGAAGAAGAGAGAAAGAGGGAGAGAGAGAGGGCTCCAGGACCTTTGCATTTCAGCAGTCGTTACGACTGCTTAAAAGTGCTTGTGTCGTGAGACCATTAGCAGTAGCCCATGTGGCTCAGAGAGGTTAAGAGCGACGAACTTCGACGGCATCCGTCATGAGGTGTGGCTGCCCCAAAAGGGGATGCCGATCCTGCTGATTTGGTAAGGACCTTAGCGCCATGTGCGACTGTTGCAATGGTGAGAGTGACTTCCCCTAGGTCAGCCGAGGAGGCCCATTGGTCGGTCCAGATCATACTTTGCCCAAGTGTTTGGTGTCACTTGGGAGGTGCTGGTTTGGGCACTTCATCCAGCAGCTCAGCGCGCCCTGGTGATGGCTTGCATCCCAATTGCGAAAGCTAGCGGTCGCCTCTTGTTTGTGATGTCTTATCACGTTGCAGGCAAGCCCCCTGGCGGCGTTGAGGCCAGTTGTTTTGACACTCGGTTGTGGCAGTATCGAGGATTGAGGTCGGCGATATTTGCAATGGCGGATGGCAGGAACACACCGTTCGCGGACCAAACGGTCAAAAGGTGCGGTTGGTGGAACTTTGTTCCTTGAAGGACACGTGTGGCACACAGTTGAAGGTGGACACCGGGGATTTGCTCAGCTTACATGTGGGCACCGGCCAGGCAGAGTTAAACATTTACACGTTTTTCGCTGCCTGGTCTTGTCAATGTGTCGATGCCAGGTTGGCGGCAAGCCAATCTTAAGCCCGAGAAAAGAGGCCAGTCCCAGGGCCCCCAGTCTCAGTCCCAGAGCCCCGGGTGGCAACCCGCACTTGAAGGCCGGGGGGCGGGAATGTTGCTTTGCAGCTTCGTCCGAGCTTTTTTCGGGCAGAACGTGTCAAAGCGTTGTGTTCAGGTAGATTTGTCCGGCTTGCCAAAGCGCGGCTTTTCCCATCAAAGCAGCTTATCCAAGGCGGGGATGCAGGGATATGTGCCAGATTGTGCCAGCACCACTCCCGAGTTGAGAGACCAGAGAATGAAGTTTGTTTCGGTTTACGCGGATCTTTTGCATGCAGTGGTAGCTTGACACAAGACAACAAACGAAACGACGTAGGTTCAAGGAGAGAAGAAGGTTTGAGTAAGGGATCTGACAGGTCGGCTTCGATGACAAAGGCAACATCATGCCGGATGGCTTCGGTGGCGACTTGGTTTATGAGGATGTTGGGGGATTGTGCCTTGCGCTATGATCCATTTTGCCGTTTGGTTTCAGATGTTTCGCCGGCAAAGCATGCAGTACACAGAGATTTGCCACAAAGGCCAGCTTCGATTCCGGGACAATCACACTCAATCCACGCTGGGGAGTGCTTTTGATTCTGGAGAGGCTCTGTCGGGCCAGAGCACAGTCGTGGCGTACCTTTGTGCAGGTAGTATCGCGCAAAAGAAGTAAGTAAAGCGAGGTCAAGTCCTATTGCATCGTGTTCAGGCAGACAGCACGTATCAACGCTCGGAGAGTTGGGCGCGCGTGGCTTAGTTCGATGTGGCAGGTGAGCAGAAGTTTAGTTGCAACCACACATTGTGTTTCGACGTATTTTGGAATGCCTGGCTTGCCGAGCCCGATGCTTGTGAAGGAAAAAGCCAAAAGATGCGGCATACGCTGCATTGAGGTGCAGCAGTCAAGATGCGTTGGTTTGCTTGTTTGGTGCGACGCGCAGCAGTTTTCAAGCCAGATACTTGGGCTTGCTGCCGACGGCCACACCCACTGCAGCAAAGCCTGGAGTTCTGTTGGGTGGCTCGATGGTCGTGTGCTCCTCAGCCAGCTTCTGCACTTCAACATCCATCGTTGTCCAGGAAGGCTCCGTGTCGGGTACGGGTGGAGTACAGGGCTTTGGGTGAAGCGACGATTGCGGAATTGGAATGAGACATGCGGGAGGCGCCGGACATCGAACCAGAGTCCGAGCTTCCGCTGAGTGAGCATGCCATCCAATTTTGCAGCCTTGGACCCGATGTACGTTTACCCCCAGTGCCGACGCCTTTTTTGCCAAAGCCTGTTTTGCAACAGCTGCTTACGCTTGCAACTGACGGCTAGTCTTTTGGAAACATTTGATCTCTCAGGGGTTTGCCTGCTCAGGGGCAGCTCCTGGAACTTGCACTGGCAATCTGCTTTGCAAGTGCAGCAGATTGCAGCGCTTTGACCGAATCGGCAACCGTTGAGGCCACCACACGGCCTTGATTGTGTTCTTGCTTCTCGGTTGTTGTCGAACCCGGTGTGAGAAGCTTGAAGTGCTTGTGGGAGGACAAGAAGGCATTGCAGCGACTGCGTGCTCTCGCAGAACGTACCACTGTCGAGTTTGGATTTGCTCGCGACGTCTGCGTTACAATGATTAGGTTCTTGTCAAGTTCAAGTAAGGGCCCGCCGTGCAGGATTAAATCTGCTCGGACGCGGTGTGGTGGCAGCCCCAGCATCCTCAGGACAATATCTCCAACGAGTGTTACTTGTATGATCTTTTCAACCCTCGGGTCGTAGTTTTCCTTTATCCACAGTAGCATGTTTTGTTTTCCAGTGGGGTTTCTGCTGTAGCGACCAGTGCTTGGAGTGCAAAGAAAACAGGAATCATCGCTCTTCCAAGTGAGGTGGTTTCTTCTGAAAGCAAAGCCACACTGTCTCCAGTCTCTCCGGCTTGTTGAGTCGTGGTGAAGCAACAGCCTCGAGAGTTTTCGAGATCTAGATGTCCCGGAGCCATCCTGAGCCCGTGATGATCCCTGATGTAGAGCCGTCCAGTGATCCTGCCAGGCAGAGCTCGTTACGGCCTTCCTGAATGCCTCTGCGCAGTCCGGTTCACGTGCAGCCTCTCCGACCAGTAGGTGCTTCAACAAGCCTGACCTGTTGGCCTTGCCAACCTTGTCTTGCCACCGTGTCTAGGCCACCGGGATATGCGAGGAAGGACTCAACTCAAAGTGTGCTGAGCAAAGCTAGCTTGTGGCTCAGAACTTTTCGTTTTCAGATGCTTCCTTCCTCATTATCCTTGTGTCACGGCTGGAGGCTTGCTCCGTCATCGCAGTACTTCAAGGGTCAGGTTTGATGCGACGGATTCTCCAAAAGCTCGGGCCTTTGTACTGTTCAAATTGTCTACCTTCGTTGACAGTTTCTACACGAGTTCTACAATCCTGATCTGATCTGATCTGTTACAGAATCTGCTCGAGGCATCACCTCGCACGCCCGATCGAGAGCTGCGTTCAGGCTTTAGCTCCGCCCCCAGCTTGAAGCTTGACAATTCGCAACGCGCGGCACCCATTTGTAGCCTCTGTTGTGGTAGCTTAGTGTGCAGTAGCTAGCAGCTAGCAGCTTTCGTAGTTAGTAGGTCGTAGTCGTAGTTGGTAAGTCGATGAAAGTCCTGGTTCGTGGCTACTAATTATGGTTCGTGGCGAGTCGATAGAAGTCGCTAGTTGTTCTTGAGCAGTAGTTCACTGTCGCGGGTTGTTATTCGTTACTAGTTCGTGGTTAGTAGGTACGGAATCCCATTGTTTTTGGTATTTTTTGTTTTTACTTGGGTATTGTTTTTGTGTTTGGCTTCTGGCTTCTCGGATTCTGGGCTTTCCTTGCTTGTTCGCCGTCTTCTTTTGGCTTCTTGGTCCGGGCTTCATATTTTAGTCACATTCTAAATTCTGGGCTTCCGGGCTCTCCTTCTTGGCTTTCCAGCTTCTTGGCGTCTTGGATTCTTGCTTCTTGGCTTGCATGTCCTGCGTCTCGCAAAATAAATTCTATGAGTATGTAACAATACCTGTACAGTACATATATACACACCTACATACATACGTACATGCATACATATGTACATAAGCCGAATGAGAGGGCGCGTTCAAGATACATGATGAACGAATCGCCAAATGAGGGGGCGTGTTAATGTAAGTTATATGATGAATCGGGTTTGAACCTGTTCTGTGTTGAAGATATATCATGAACAAATCGCCACATGAGGAGGTTGTTAACAATGTATGATGAGCCGGAGTCGCCAAAGAAGGGGGCGTGTTCAAGATGCGTGGGTGTGTTTAAGATGTATGAAAAACCAGAATCGCCAGATGAGGGGGCATGTGCAATATATATATATATATATGATTCTGTGATGAATCCGAATCGCCAACTGAGGGGGCGTGTTTCAGATGGATGTTGAACCGGAATTGACAAACGAGGAGGCGTGTGTAAGATATATGATGAACCGGAATCGCGAAATGTTGGGGCGTGCGGAAGATATATGATGAACCGGAATCCCCAAATGAAAACGCTTCTTTGAGATATATGATGAATCGGTCCTGAACCTGTTGCAGATGTACGGGGCGTGTTTAGTACATCTGATGAACCGGAATCGCGAAAGAGGGGGCACGTCTAAGATACATGATGAGCTGGAATCGCCAAGTGCAGGGGTGTATTTAGGATAGATGTGGAACTGGAATCGCTAAACGAGGGGCTGTGTGTAAGATATATGCCGAACCGGACTCGCCAAATGTGGAGACATGTTTAAGATATAAGATGAACCGGCAGTGGACTTGATTTGTATGGGCTTTTTGTTAGTTGTTAGTGTTATTGCTAGTTTCAAGTTTCACTTGGTTCTCGCCAAACGAGGGGCGGCATCGGCACGGAGGGGGCGTGTGTAAGATTTACCAGGAACCGGAATCGCCAAATGAGGAGGCGTGTTTAAGGCATATGAAGAACCCGAACTGCAAATTGGTTTTGTGTGTGTGTGTGTGTGTTTTGCGTTAGTTGTTCGTGTTTGTTATGTTATCGCCAAACGAGGTGGCGTCTTTAAGATAGATGATGAGCCGAGTCGACAAATGAGGGGGCGTGTTGTAGATATGTGACGAACCGGTCTCGCGAAAGTGGGGGCGTGTTTAAGTTCTGTGATAAACCGGAATCGCCAAATGAGGGGGCGTGTTTCACATATATGATAGAGCAGAATCGCCAATTGAGGAAGCGTGTTGTAGATATATGACGAAGCGGAAATCGCAAAAGAGGGAACGGTTAAACATGTGATGAACCGGAATCGACAAAAGAAGGGGCGTGTTTAGGATGGAGGATGAACTGGAATCGCCAGAGGGGGCGCGCATCAGATGTATGAATCCGAATCGCGAAAGAGGGGCTGTGTTTAATATATATGATGAACCGGAATACCCAGCACAACTGGAAAGGCTTCCACTGACCCGCCTGTCCTCTGTAGGTGACGTACATGTTGCAAGTCAGGTAAAAGAAATCCACTTAATGGGCATCCTCTTGACCCCCAGCTGCCGCGCCGGACCCAAGAGCATCAGGAGGAGCCCGTAGAGCAGGTACGTTTGCACGGGTTGAGTGGCGAGTCTTCGTTGGCCGGGATCGCCGCTCTACCCTCCCGGCCCCCTGCAGATGTCACAATTTTCGCTGAAAACATCATGCACAAAAAATGTGGAGCAAAGTTTGTCGCATGTACAGCAAAATAACACAAACAAGCCCCAACTGGGGCAAGTCCTCAAAACAGTACGCAAAAGCCTGGTGGCTCAACACGGGACTTGAGGCTCAACAACATCAAAGCAACACAACCACCTACACAGGCCCCAAGGCTCCAACAAAGGACTGAGTCTCAACAACAGAAGCAAACAAAGTGGAATGAATTAGGGTTTAGGGTTCTCATTCCCGCGATCGGAATCCTGAGCGTGTATCCTGTGTAAGAACGTCATTTCGAGTCGCTTGCTTACGGGTCCACCGAAATGCGGGAATACAATCAGAATACAACTTTGGCCATCGATCGGATTCCTGAGAAGAACGTCCTTTTTCGAGCCGCTTCAAAAGCAGCTTTGCACATCACTTGCACGTCACTTGAGGCTCAACAAGGGACTGAGGCTCCAAAGCTACACAAACCCACACTAAACCACAAAACCCTGTGGGCAGCAATGCCCGAAAAATGAGCTTGGCGACGAAGACCGTAAGTGCCAATGTTGTAAGAGTCCACGTAGTAGTGAAGGCTTATTAATGTGGGCTTATGGCTGTCCTTCAGCTGGGCACGCAAGCCCCCAGAAGCGACAGAGGGGAATGAAGGCTGATCAGCTGCCCTTGCGAGGGCCCAGATCCAGCCGGGGACTGTTCCTCAGCTGGGCGCGACGGCCCCCAAAGGCAACAGTATGAGCACAGGTTAAAAACTGGTTTAAGCGAGCAGTGCAACTCAACACGCCACTCCAAGGGTGCAAGCTCATCCAAACCAATGTCGCTTGTAAGGAAAGCATGGCAGAATACAACTTCGGCCATCGTTCATCCCAATCAATGTTGCATAGCAGTGTACAACTTCGGTCATCGATCGGACTCCTGAGAAGAACGTCTTTTCGAGCCGCTTCAAAAGCAGCTCTGCGCATCATTTACACGTCACTTGAGGCTCAACAAGGGGCTGAGGCTCATCAACACCAACAAAGGACTCCAACAAGGGACTGAGTCTCAACAACATAAGCTAGCGAGCATGGGATGATATCATTCCCGGTGTGGCCATCGATCGGAATCCTGAGCGTGTATCCTGTGTAAGAACTTGATTTCAGAATACAACTTTGGCCATCGATCGGATTCCTGAGAAGAACGTCTTTTTTCAAGCCGCTTCAAAAGCAGCTTTGCACTTCACTTGCACGTCACTTGAGGCTCAACAAGGGACTGAGGCTCCAAAGCTACACAAACCCACACTAAACCACAAAACCCTGTGGGCAGCAATGCCCGAAAAATGAGCTTGGCGACGAAGACCGTAAGTGCCAATGTTGTAAGAGTCCACGTAGTAGTGAAGGCTTATTAATGTGGGCTTATGGCTGTCCTTCAGCTGGGCACGCAAGCCCCCAGAAGCGACAGAGGGGAATGAGGGGAATGAAAGCTGATCAGCTGCCCTTGCAAGGGCCCAGATCCAGCCGGGGACTGTTCCTCAGCTGGGCGCGACGGCCCCCAAAGGCAACAGTACGAGCACAGCCTAAAAGCTGGTTTAAGCAAGCAGTGCAACGCAACACGCCACTCCAAGGGTGCAAGCTCATCCAAATCAATGTCGCTTGTAAAGAAAGCGTGGCAGAATACAACTTCGGCCATCGTTCATCCCAACCAGGTAACCAATGCTGCATAGCAATGTACAACTGCGGCCATCGATCGGAATCCTGAGAAGAATGTTTTTTCGAGCCGCTTCAAAAGCAGCTTTGCACATCATTTACACATCACTGGAGGCTCAACAAGGGACTCAGGCTCATCAACACCAACAAAGGACTCCAACAAGGGACTGAGTCTCAACAACATAAGCAAGCGAGCGTGGGATGATATCATTCCCGGTGTGGCCATCGATCAGAAGCCTGAGCGTATATCCTGTGTAAGAACGTCATTTCGAGTCGCTTACTTGCGGGTCCACCGCTTACACGTCACTTAAGGTTCAACAAGGAACGAAGGCACCAAAACAACACAAACCCGCACTAAACCACAAAACCCTGTGGGCAGCAATGCCCGAAAAATGAGCTTGGCGACGAAGACCGTAAGTGCCAATGTTGTAATAGTCCACGTTGTAGTGAAGGCTTGTTAATGTGGGCTTATGGCTGTCCTTCAGCTGGGTACGCAAGCCCCTAGAAGCGACAGAGGGGAATGAAGGCTGATCAGCTGCCCTTGCAAGGGCCCAGATCCAGCCGGGGACTGTTCCTCAGCTGGGCGCGACGGCCCCCAAAGGCAACAGTACGAGCACAGCCTAAAAGCTGGTTTAAGCGAGCAGTGCAACTCAACACGCCACTCCAAGGGTGTAAGCTCATCCAAATCAATGTCGCTTGTAAAGAAAGCGTAGCAGAATACAACTTCGGCCATCGTTCATCCCAATCAATGTTGCATGGCAGTGTACAACTTCGGCCGTCGATCGGAATCCTGAGAAGAACGTCTTTTCGAGCCGCTTCAAAAGCAGCTCTGCACATCATTTACACGTCACTGGAGGCTCAACAAGGGACTGAGGCTCATCAACACCAACAAAGGACTCCAACAAGGGACTGAGTCTCAACAACATAAGCTAGGCAGTCGTCAGTGATCTCCAGATGCCACTCCACTGTGAATGATCTCCAGACATGACAGCGATTTCCACTGGTGATTTCCCCTTGAACATGTTGTGAAACGGGAATGATCTCCGATCCTGCTAACACAAGAACCCCGGTGGGCCAGCACTTTTCGCCGAAAAGCGACAAGGCCCTCATGAGGGAGCTCTTGTCGAACACAACTGGAAAGGCTTCCACTGACCCGCCTGTCCTCTGTAGGTGACGTACATGTTGCAAGTCAGGTAAAAGAAATCCACTTAATGGGCATCCTCTTGACCCCCAGCTGCCGCGCCGGACCCAAGAGCATCAGGAGGAGCCCGTAGAGCAGGTACGTTTGCACGGGTTGAGTGGCGAGTCTTCGTTGGCCGGGATCGCCGCTCTACCCTCCCGGCCCCCTGCAGATGTCACAATTTTCGCTGAAAACATCATGCACAAAAAATGTGGAGCAAAGTTTGTCGCATGTACAGCAAAATAACACAAACATGCTAAGTCTGCTAAGTGACCCGGCGCCATCCGGATGGGTTTAGGGTTAGGGTTGGTTTAGGGTTTAGGGTTTAGCAGGAATCGGGCTATTTTGTGCAGCTGCAAATTGCAAAGGGCAAAGAGCTTGCATGAGCAGAGAGGCCCCACTTTAGAAACAACTTGCCACTTCAGACGGCTTGGAGCTTGCCAATTACATAGATTTTGCTTGAAAACAAGGAAAACAAACAATACATGAAGAAAACAAACAGCATACCACTGCATCCAGTAGGTACTGTACTGGTTAGTCGCTAAATTTCAGCAGTTCGCAGTTAGACGCCAGTAGTTTGTAGATAGTCGCTGGTAATCAGTACTGATCACGATAACCATACGCCCTCATTGATAGTGGAACAATAGTAGTCGCGGGAGTACTGCTAGTAGCAGTATCTACTGCCTTTTTGTCTGCTCGGGCAGAACAGTCTGCTTTCATTGTTGTAAACGCTTCGCGTCGTCCGCCTCGGCCCGGTCGCACGTGAAGCGTCACCAGGGCCCAATCGGCGATAGTTCTGCGCGGGGCGGTTTCTGCAAATGAGCCGGGGCGGGGTGGTGAGTGGGTCACCGCCCGTCACCACCCACCAAGTCAAGGAGAGGGGACGGCCCCCCTCCCCCTAAATGCACAACCAAGCAAACTCCGCCTCTGCCGAGCGAGGTCGAAGGTTCGAGAGTTCGTAAGTTGGGCGCGTCAAAGTTTCTAGCTTTGAAGCTTTCAAGGGTGCAGGATTTCGAAGTTTGGTTTTCAAACGGGCGAAAGGTTTGGAAAGTTTTCAACTTAACTTCGCGAGCTTCCCGTTTCAATGCTTAGCTTCAAAGTCGGCTCGCGGCTCGCCGCTGAGGTCGAGAGATCGACACTTCAGAAGCCCGAGGGAGCAAGCAGTTTTTTGGCAGGCAATTGTCGCGGTGTGAAGGCGAAAAGAAAGAAACAAAGGATAAGCAAGAGTGCAAGAAAGAAAGAAACCAATGGGGGGAGAGCGAGAGTGGAAGAAGGCAACGAAAGAAAGATCACGGGAAAGAACGAAAAAAACCAAGAATCAAGCAAAAGGAAAGAACCTACTAAAAAGAAATAGCCGAATAACTTGAAGAATTAAAGACTGAACTAAAGAAATAAGCAACCTGAAAGGAAGAACACCAGAAGCAAGGAATCAGGAAAAAGCAAGAAGTTCCTCAAGGAAAGAAAGAAAGAGTGAAGGAAAGCAGCTTATGGGCAAAAAGCCAGAAAGCCAGACAGGAAAGACAGAAATGACTCCAGATGGAAGGAACTAATTAGGAAGAAAGCAGATGGGAAGTACATAATGAAAGAAAGAAGGAATCGAACCAACGCAATAACGAAGAAAGACCTACAGAAATAGTAAACGATTTCTTGAACAGAAAGCAAGCTTGCATGGCTCAAGAACGCTGAGGTAGGGGAGACGCAGCCTGCCAATTGCAAACACAATGTGTGTATTGTGGTCTCTGACAGGGTTCATAGGGCTTCTGTTCTTGATAGCACAACGGTCCTTCTAGGTAGCTTGGGCGGCTGAAAGAAGCGGTGAGAGTGTTGCTTCTTCCCTTCTTCCGTTTTTGACGTCCGCTACTTGCAAATTATTCTTCTTCCCTTTGTCTTGGTTGTTTCCCTTCTTCTGCGTTCTTCTGGGTCCTTTTTCCATTCTCCCTTCTGCTGCTTGCCTTGCATGTCCTTTTGTCTTTGTTTCTTTCTTCCTGAACACATGATGTCAGGGAGCGTTTGAAAACCTATCATGCCCGTACTGCGTTTGCAAATGTGAGGCTTCGCACCCCTCCCCGGCAACAGTTCGTACAATCACGCAAGCTTGCTTTGAGCAGCATCGTGCCATCAAGACGAGAACCTATATACACGAACCCTGTCAGACCCTGCAGGCCTGGTGTTGGCACATGGGCGCTTGCACTCGAACCCCCTGCTTTTTCAAGCAGCGATAGCTTGCTTCAAGGAACATGGTGCTAACAACAACGCAGCCTAGGCGAACGATTTCCGCGCCGCACCCCACGTTCCCCCTGCAAGCTTGCTGTCCGGAACATCAATTACTAACTTATGAATTACTACGTATCGTTGTTGAAGTTGTTGCTTTTTCTCATTGTGATTTTACCTGTCATTGTTTCGAGTTTCGACTGTTACTACTTCTTATTCCTGCCATGACTGTTATCATTGCTAGTACTTCTAGCACCATGGGCATTGTCATTACTTTTTTTGTTCGCTATTGTTGTTGCGAGTATGACTGGCTGCTGTTACTGTTATTGTTGCTGTCCTATATGGCATGTTTTGTGTTTTGCTATTGTTGCGATTTGTGCCAATCGTTGCTACTATCGCTATTGGTGCCATTGTCACTCGTACTGGGTTTAGTGTTCTTGGTAGTACCGTATTGTCATGTTTACTAGTATCGTAAATATAACTCGTATTACTACTATTACAGCACATGCAGGTTTTACAATTGCTATTTTTCCAAGTGCTTGCGAAATACATCTGCCGAAAGCAGAAACCCTGCGAATTGTAACCATAAATATGCCAGACCCGACTCGAAGCGGCCAACATCCAGTGAATTCCATCAAAACGAATGGAAATCAATCAAACATCTGATTGAATCGGTCAAAGTCTTTAGAGTGTTTAGGGTTTGAAAAGCTTGGGAAGCCAGTACATCAAGAAAAAGACAGAACAGAAGCCACGATATACACAGCAAGAGCAGGATATCCAGGTCTATCGGGTAACGTTCTGAAGCCAAAGCGACAAGAAAAAAACACAACAACAAGTGAATCACAACCCAAGAAATGAAAAATGCTTCGGCCGAGGCCGAGGCTAATTGAAGATTAGTTTTGTCCCACCTACTGTATGTTCGTGAATCGAGAGTAAACTCGTGTGTACCAGATTTAAGACGATGAATCTAGAGCAATTTGCCAGCATCGGGTCTTTGGCGGCACTGAAAACTGTGCACGAACAGATAGGCCGAAAGCAACAAACAAACAAAAACACGGGTGGATGCTGTTGAGGCAAGTCCATGCCGGTGCGTGCATGTCATCTCCAAACTTGTGCGATTTGCTTGGGCTTTTGTTCTATCGGTGTTGTTCTTGTTCTAAGTGTTGGTTGCTTGTGCAGGCTTCGGATGGTTTTTCAGCTCCTGGTTCCCCGCTTCAGAGCATTTCGTCCTACACGAGCATCAGCAGTAGCCCGGAGGGAATTTGCGTCACGTTGGCATGCATTTGTATGATGTGCCGATGTGCCGAAATCGGTCCCAGTCGGACTTCAGCTGCTCTTCCTTCACGGACTTCAATCGGAAGCAGGCCCAGCTGACCCTGCACATGTGCCACCAAGATTTTGACACAAGTGGACGTCAACAGGAGTGCACGAATATGCAGGACGGTTTGCAGGTAGGACAGGAACCTCATCGAAAGACGTGCTGAGTAACCTTAGGTTGACGTGGCTTCGATGAAAGGATGTTTGTTACCAGCAGGGTCCCAGTACAATCTTCCGACCATGTGCGGCGTCAAGCTTGCCAATCCTTGCCGCAGTCAACGCTTGTTGGAGTTGGCGCTCATATATGGAGACCGGATGGTTACGGACTGGCAGCTATGTAACTGAGTGCGACTCGGCCGGGCTTGCCAGGCCCATGCAAAAAAGGACACGAACACAGCCGCCCCTGCTTTCTTGGAGTTCCTCATTGCGGTCCTTAAAGGTGGCCAGGCCATGACGAGAAGCGCGTAAGATACTGATTATTGCATTGTCAGCAGATGCTCTTGCGCACAGGAGCAGCGCGTCGGGGCATTTTCACCACCTTCACCGCCTTCACCTCTCGGAAATGCAGCTGTTGGAGCTGCTTTCTTAGCTATCAAGAACGAGTCGCACAGCTCCGGTGAAGTTCAACCTTGACCCATCGAGGCAAACGGCAACGATGTCGTTTTAGACCTCAAGCTGGACACCGATTTCGGAAGGTGACTTGCTGATTGCTAAGCCCTGCTTCGTCGCGGAGCTCCTCAAGCCAGGTCAATTTCAGCACACCCCGAAGACGACAATGCGTCTGTCACTGCCTGAGACACTTTTCCGACATGTGGGAGCGCGCCAAGGATGCTTGAAGCGAATTCGGTCTTCACACCGCATAAGGCCCGCTCAAGGCCAAGTTTCTGATCAGTTGGTCTGAGGCTCTGACTTACCATTCATACTGCGATGCAATGGTCGCGGGTGCTGGCGGTGACGGTGAGGCCGGAAGCACGGCACCAGCAAGACATGTTGCTGCGATCCAACGGATCGATTGCAGAGACTCGTTGAACAGGAGAAGGAAGTGATAAGCGCTGAAGTGTTGAAGCTGGGAGGAACAGAGGCCAGACGCGCAGACATAGATCTTTGTCTCCGAAGTTGAAAGCAAGCTGTGGCATCACGACTGCAACGAACGACAAGACATGGTAATGGTAGAATCTCAGTAGAAGCAATTCGTCAATGAGACGCAGGGCAAGCAAACCATGCGCATCGCTTTCAAATCCAAGTCTGCGCCCCAGCATCCTTGTCGTGGTGCTTTTAAGATTGTCTGGAGAATAGGTTTGATGCCGCACTTGCCAGATGCCTGCGGACACAAAACGAGTGGCAGAAGCAGCTTCTCGCCCAACAACGCGCCAATTTCTGAGCGCTTCTGTTACAGAGGCATGTGCTTGCCGCAACATTCTGCAGCATGCTACTGTGCTGAGGCGTTGCTGGATGTTGTCACAGGCAGGTTGCAGGCAGCCGAGAGAACTTTGAAAGAAGACGAGGAGGCAGTCCATGGCTGGACATTAGCGGTGCAACTTTGGCACGGTTCGGTTATTCAGTGTACTCTCCATGTTTCCGAGTTCCATAGCTGTTTGCATTGCTTCCAGAAAGTTTTACAGGCAAGCCCGTGTAGCTTGCAGGCCATTCTACTGCTACGACGACGATTGCTACTACAGAGTTTACTACGACGACGACGACGACGACTACTACTACTACTATTTCTGCTGTTCAATCTCCGATGGAGGAAGCCTTCAGTCTTCAGCTTTGGTGATACTCTGTTTATTTGAGTCCTCTTTTGTTGTCTGGAGGCTTTCGCGTGACTTGCCAGTCGTCAAGACCCCGCCGACCTGTCATGGGCGTGCCTTGTGGGTGACAAGCAACAACAACTACCATTGCTACTGCTACTGCTACTGCTACTACTACTACTACTACTACTACTACTACTACTACTACTACTACCTACTACCTGCTACCTGCTACCTACTGCCTACTGCCTACTGGCTACTGGCTACTGCCTACTCCCTACTACCTGCTACCTGCTACCTGCTACCTGCTACCTGCTACCTGCTACCTGCTACCTACTACGACTAGTACTACTACTACTACTACTACTACGACTGCTACTACTCCTACTACTACTACTACTACTACTATTACTACTACTACTACTACTACTGCTACTACTGCTGCTACTGCTACTAGACTGATTGATAGGAAAGTGGAGTTGGGTGTAGCGAGAATTGCGCGCTACTTGATTTTAAGCTTTTGGTTGCTCCATTGAAGGGTTGTAGGGTCTTTACCTTGCTACTGATAGAGCTTCTTTCTAGACTCCCATTTCCACTCCCCCCGTCAAAGCGTCAACGGCTTGAGCGCTCAATACTGGCACTGTAAGTACTTTGCGGCATTTAGTGTGACCCCTGTTCACGGGGTTTCATACTGTTCAGGTAGCAAGTTCCCTGACGCTCGAGCTGAGTTCCGAAATTCGTAATTTGCAATGTGTAATTCATAACATAATTTGGGAAGCCAAATTCAAGAACCTACAGAACTCTTGCCTCCAATAGTGAGGATGCCCACTGCGATCCACTGCTCACACGCCACTCTTGCGATGCTCTGCTCACACATCCCTTCGCTTGCTGAATGGTGGATGCGATGAGCTGATGATGATGAAGTCCAGCTTGCTGCACACATGCTCGCACCGCACTGTGACAACTCTGATCCGGAGCTTACCTAGTCTTGTCCCACCTCAATTAAAATCATATGTAGGTGGCTTAACCCAGCGGTCCTCTGCAACCCTTTTAGTCATCTAAACCTCCATAGGGGATGCAGGCTGAACTAGACAATCCAGTGTGCTTACGTATGCTGCGCCTACAGGCCTTTATTGCCGGGCTAGTGGAGGCTGATACACGTATCTGGAGGGTGTTTCTGGCCTGGCATGGTATCTTGAAGCCTGAAATGCAGCTCCTGGCGACGTGCACGTGAAACATGCCTTTGCACTGGCTGCTACATATGTCTGACTTGTATGATGTTTCTGCATGTATGTTCGAATGTACCTCTGGGCTTTGTGCTGAAGCCACTTCAGTATGATTGTCCTGGACAGACTTGTGTGCGACGTCTGTCCCTTGCATCTGATCCTGCTTGTTGTGACTGGTGGAAGACTGTTTTCTTTCATGGTTATTTAACTTGGATGCTCAAGGAATGAGCGTCTGTGTTATTGCACTGTGCGCGAAAAACCTTGAGAAGGACAACCTCGCCTTATCGTGACGCGGGGGTTAACCTGGACTGGTACAAAAGCTGACTGCGATGGGATTCGCCGCATGCCTGCTGGATAAGATCAGTCTTGCAGTCTTGCACTATGCGGTCCTGCTGTAACTTCGTGCAGTGCTGGTTGCTGGTCTACTGGACTGGTGAATCTCTGCGATTTGGATGTCGATATTATTGTGAGAGGAGAAAGAAACTGCGAACGAGACTCTTGGGAGACCTGTCCCGCTGTCTTGGAAGATTCGGCGTGTGAGCTTCTTGGCAGAGATGTGTTCCACAGTTCTGTCCATCATGATCATGTTGTCGCTGCTGCATTGCAGCTACAATCCTTGCTGGCTGTGATGGGCAAGAACTGTGTCACTCAAAAGATTCTATGAGTGACCCGGAATTGGTCTGAAAATTTGGTGCTTGGGTCGTCGATGCAAGTCTTGCTTATTAGATAAATGGTACTTAATACTGAGGCAACACTTTGCTGGCAAACATCCCCTGCAAGTTCTGAACAGTAATGCTGTGATGTGTGATGCAGAAAAGCCAAACCGTTGGCAGATTTTTTTGCAAGATACAGCTGAACATCAGCTGTTCAGTGCACTCGAAATGAGATGCCGAATTCACTATACCGTTGTACCTATCGCCCTGCTTCGTGTACTCAGCCATGCAGGAGGCAACAACAAACTACTACTGCTGCTGCTACTACTTCTGCGACTATTCCGACTACTACGACTACTACTGCTGCTACTACTACTACTGCTGCTGCTGCTACTACTACTACTACTACTTCTGCTACTACTCCTACTCCTACTCCTACTCCTACTCCTACTCCTACTCCTACTACTACTACTACTACTACTACTACTACTACTACTACTACTACTAATCCTTTCCCCCTAATATTAAACGGGGGGCCCCCCCCCCCCACCCTAAATAAAAACTCGGAAATGTTTTTAATATTAGGGGTGGTTGTTATCTCACATCCTGGTTATACCTAGTTTTACCCCACCCATGAACCCAGAGACTCCGAAACTTTTGAATTAAGGAATACATCTTAAAATCATGATTATGGGGGATGCCACTAGTTTTTTGCAATATTCCTTAATTCAAGGGTTTTGGAGTCTCTGGGAAGCTTTAAATGAAATCCACGAGTCACAACAGGTCCAGACATAGTAAGGATTGACAGATTGATAGCTCTTTCTTGATTCTACACCTCCACAGCAATTAGCAGTAGTGCAGTAATTGGCAGTAGTGCAGTAATTGGCAGTAGTGCAGCAATGACCAGTAGTGCACTAATTGGCAGGAGTGCAGTAATGACCAGTATTGCAGTCATTGGCCGTAGTGCAGTAATTGGCAGTAGTGCAGCAATGACCAGTAGTGCAGTAATTGGCAGTAGTGCACTAATTGGCAGTAATGCAGTAATGACCAGTATTGCAGTCATTGGCCGTAGTGCAGCAATTGGCAGTAGTGCAGTAATTGGCAGTAGTGCAGCAATTGGCAGTAGTGCAGTAATTGGCAGTCGTGCAGCAATTGGCAGTAGTGCAGCAAGTGGCAGTAGTGCAGCAATTGGCAGTAGTGCAGTGATGACCAGTAGTGCAGTGATTGGCAGTAGTGCAATAATGACCAGTAGTGCAGTAATTGGCAGTAGTGCAGTATTGACTAGTAGTGCGGTAATTGGCAGTAGTGCACTAAGTGGCAGTAGTGCAGCAATGACCAGAAGTGCAGTACTTGGCAGTAGTGCAGCAATTGGCAGTACTCTCGACGCAGGGTGCCCAGAGCTTTTGGTCACCCAAAATCTCGATTCCGGGTGGGGAAAGGGCCCAAATGACACCCCTGGGGATTGAACCAGAGGCCTTCTCCCTCTCCTCCTGCAAGGCCTCCGCCTGCCCGTTAGGCTGCGGAAGAATATTTCTGGGGAAGGCGGCCACCCAATGAGGTGTTTTCAAGAGAGTCTAGGCGCCGTCATTTGCGCCTTCCCCCCCATGCAGAATCGAAACTTTGAAATGACCCAAATCTGCCACTGCAGTAATTGGTAGTACAGCAATTGGCAGTAGTGCAGTAATTGGCAGTAGTGCAGCAATGACCAGTCGTGCAGTACTTGGCAGGAGTGCAGTGATGACCAGTCGTGCAGTAATTGGCAGTAGTGCAGCAATTGGCAGTAGTGCAGCAATGACCAGTAGTGCAGTAATTGGCAGTAGTGAACTAATTGGCAGTAATGCAGTAATGACCAGTATTGCAGTCATTGGCCGTAGTGCAGCAATTGGCAGTAGTGCAGTAATTGGCAGTAGTGCAGTAATTGGCAGTAGTGCAGTAATTGGCAGTCGTGCAGCAATTGGCAGTAGTGCAGCAATTGGCAGTAGTGCAGTGATGACCAGTAGTGCAGTACTATAGTCATTGCTGCACTACTGCCAATGAGTGCATTACTGCCAATTACCGCACTACTTAGTCAATACTGCACTACTGCCAATTGCTGCACTACTGGTCATTACTGCACTACCTGCACTAGTCCAGTACTTGGCAGTAGTGCAGTGATGACCAGTAGCGCAGTAATTGGCAGTAATGCAGCAATTGGCAGAGTGCAGCAATTGGCCGTAGTGCAATAGTGACCAGTAGTGCAACACTTCCACAACACTCCACAACACTTCCACAACACGTCCACAACACTTCCACAACACTCCCACAACACCTCCACAACACCTCCACAACACTTCCACAACACTTCCACAACACCTCCACAACACCTCCACAACACTTCCACAACACCTCCACAACACCTCCACAACACCTCCACAACACGTCCACAACACTTCTACAACACCTCCACAGCAATTAGCAGTAGTGCAGTAGTTGGTAGTACAGCAATTGGCAGTAGTGCAGTAATTGGCAGTAGTGCAGCAATGACCAGTAGTGCACTAATTGGCAGGAGTGCAGTAATGACCAGTATTGCAGTCATTGGCCGTAGTGCGGCAATTGGCAGTAGTGCAGCAATGACCAGTAGTGCAGTAATTGGCAGTAGTGCACTAATTGGCAGTAATGCAGTAATGACCAGTATTGCAGTCATTGGCCGTAGTGCAGCAATTGGCAGTAGTGCAGTGATGACCAGTCGTGCAGTACTTGGCAGTAGTGCAGTAATGACCAGTAATGCAGTAATTGGCAGTAGTGCAGCAAGTGGCAGTAGTGCAGCAATTGGCAGTAGTGCAGTGATGACCAGTAGTGCAGCAATGACCAGTAGTGCAGTAATTGGCAGTAGTGCAGTATTGACTAGTAGTGCGGTAATTGGCAGTAGTGCAGCAATTGGCAGTAGTGTGGTAATTGGCAGTAGTGCACGAAGTGGCAGTAGTGCAGCAATGACCAGAAGTGCAGTACTTGGCAGTAGTGCAGCAATTGGCACTACTCTGGACGCAGGGTGCCCAGAGCTTTTGGTCACCCAAAATCTCGATTCCGGGTGGGGAAAGGGCCCAAATGACACCCCTGGGGATTGAACCAGGGGCCTTCTCCCTGTCCTCCTGCAAGGCCTCCGCCTGCCCGTTAGGCTGCGGAAGAATATTTCTGGGGAAGGCGGCCACCCAATCAGGTGTTTTCAAGAGAGTCTAGGCGCCGTCATTTGCGCCTTTCCCCCCATGCAGAATCGAAACTTTGAAATGACCCAAATCTGCCACTGCAGTAATTGGTAGTACAGCAATTGGCAGTAGTGCAGTAATTAATTGGCAGTAGTGCAGCAATGACCAGTCGTGCAGTACTTGGCAGGAGTGCAGTGATGACCAGTCGTGCAGTAATTGGCAGTAGTGCAGCAATTGGCAGTAGTGCAGCAATGACCAGTAGTGCAGTAATTGGCAGTAGTGAACTAATTGGCAGTAATGCAGTAATGACCAGTATTGCAGTCATTGGCCGTAGTGCAGCAATTGGCAGTAGTGCAGTAATTGGCAGTAGTGCAGCAATTGGCAGTAGTGCAGTAATTGGCAGTCGTGCAGCAATTGGCAGTAGTGCAGCAATTGGCAGTAGTGCAGCAAGTGGCAGTAGTGCAGCAATTGGCAGTAGTGCAGTGATAACCAGTAGTGAGTAATTGGCAGTAGTGCAGTAATGACCAGTAGTGCAGTAATTGGCAGTAGTGCAGTATTGACTAGTAGTGCGGTAATTGGCAGTAGTGCAGCAATTGGCAGTAGTGTGGTAATTGGCAGTAGTGCACGAAGTGGCAGTAGTGCAGCAATGACCAGAAGTGCAGTACTTGGCAGTAGTGCAGCAATTGGCACTACTCTGGACGCAGGGTGCCCAGAGCTTTTGGTCACCCAAAATCTCGATTCCGGGTGGGGAAAGGGCCCAAGTGACACCCCTGGGGGTTGAGCCAGGGACCTTTTCCCTGCCTCTCCTGCAAGGCCTCCGCCTGCCCGTTAGGCTATGGAAGAATAGTTCTGGGGAAGGCGGCCACCCCATCTGGAGTTTTCGAGAGACTCCAGGCGCCGTCATTTGGGCCTTTCCCCCCATGCAGAATCGAAACTTTGAAATGACCCAAATCTGCCAAGAGCATAACCAAACCCACTCAAAACCGAGCAAACCCGCCGAAACCCTCCCAAACCCACCCATTCCCACTTGCCCATGCCCCTTTGCCCAAATGCAACTGGTGCTGGTGCTCTACTCAACTGCCTGCTACTACTTCTACTACTGCTGCCACTACGACACAGAACCTACATACCTAAATATATACACAATATAAATCTATACACATGTACACATACATACATGCTGGACCTTGTCGCGCCAGCCTTGTCGCAGAAACCCGCTTTTGTTACATACTCTGTCGCGCGAGTGGCGCCCCGGCCCTGTTACATACCAGAATTTTTTGACTCACTGCCATGTTCTTAAATTAAGGGATATTCGAGTCTTTGGAGATATAGAAAAATAATAGAGAGGACTTGCAGATGTTATACAAATTTTGAACACCCAACGGGCTTGAAGCATCTAAAAATTGAAAAAAGGAACGATAATTGAAATATAGGAGAAGATGCGTAGAATATTCATTTAAAAATATAAAGAAATAGAAGCATGAAAGACTTGCAGAAACAGACAGGCAGGCAGCCGATCTTTGCTGCTGTTTGGCAGTATGAACAGCGAGGCAGGCTAGGCAAGCCATGCTCGCAACAGCTGCAGCAGACAGAACGCAGCAGCCGAAAACAGAGAGCCGGCCCTTCAAAGGAGCACCCTAAACCCTAAACCCCACGTAAACCTTGAGGGTTTAGGGTTTAGGGACCCCTAAACCCTAAACCTTAAAACCCTAGACCTGCACCCCCTAATCCAAAATGGGTTTTAAAGGGCGGGGGTATTTTTTGGGGGGTCCGGGAAAAAGTATTTTTAATATTAGGGGGTTGTTTACTATCAGGGGGAAACGATTACTACTACTACTACTACTACTACTACTACTACTACTACTACTACTACTACTACTACTACTACTTCGACTACTACTACTATTACTACTACTACTACTACTACTACTACTACTACTATTACTACTACTACTACTACTACTACTCCTTCTCACCAACACCCACCACCCACCACCCACCGCCCACCACCCACCACCCACCACCCACCACCCACCACCCACCAACCACCACCCACCACCCACCAACCACCACCCACCACCCACCACCCACCACCCACCCACCACACCCACCACACCCACCACACCCACCACACCCACCACACCCACCACACCCACCACACCCACCACACCCACCACACCCACCACACCCACCACACCACACCACACCCACCCACACACCCACCCACCACCCACCACACCCACACCCCACCACACCCACCACACCCACCACACCCACCACAACCCACCACACCCACCACAACCCACACACCCACCACACCCCACCACACCCACACACCACCCCACCCCCACCACCCACCACCCCCCCCACCCCACCCCACACCCACAACCCCCACACACCCACCCACCCACCACCCCACCACCACACCCACACACCCACCCACCCCCACCACACCCACCACACCACCACACCACCCACCCACCACACCCACCACACCCACCACACCCCACCACCCCACCACCACCACCCACCACACCCACCACACCCACCCACACCCACCACAACCCACCACACTACACACACCCACCACACCCACCCCACCCCCACCACCCCACCACAACCCACCCACCACACCACCACACCCACCACACCACCCCACCACACCCCCACCACACCCACCACACACCCACCACACCCCCACACACCCCACCCCACCCACCCACCACCCACCACCCACCCCCCCCCACCACCCACCACCACCACACCACCCCACCCACCACCCCACCACCACACCACCCACCCACCCACCACCCACCACCCACCACCCACCACCCACCACCCACCACCCACCACCCCCCCCCACCCCCACCCACCACCCACCACCCACCACCCACCACCCACCACCCACCACCCACCACCCACCCACCACCACCCACCACCCACCACCCCCACCCCCCACCACCCACCACCCACCACCCACCACCACCCACCACCCCCCCCACCACCACCCACCCCCCCACCCCCCACCCCCCACCACCCACCACCCACCACCCCCACCCCACCCCACCCCCCACCCCCCACCACCCCACCACCCCACCACCCACCACCACCCACCCCACCCCCCCCCCCCCACCCCCCACCCCCACCACCACACCACCACCCACCACCACCCACCACCACCCACCACCACCCACCACCACCACCCCCACCACCACCCCACCCCCCACCCACCACCTACCCACCCACCCACCCCCACCCCACCACCACCACCACCAACCCACCACCCCCACCCCCCACCCCCCCCACCCCCCCACCCCCCCCCCCACCCACCCACCACCCACCACCCCCCCCACCCCCCCACACCCACCCCCACCCCACCCACCCCACCCCCCCCACCCCCACCCAAACCCCACCTCCACCGCCATGCCACCAAACCGGCTCCAGCTCGACCGCCAGCAGCACCACCCACCACCACCACCACCCACACCCACACACAACCACCAGCCACCAACACCCACCACCCCACCACCCGCCGTCCCCCACCAACCACCACCACCCAACACCGCCCGCCACCAGCCACCAACACCCACCACCACCCACCACCCACAATCCCCACCGCCACTCCACCAACCACCACCACCCACCAACACCTCACCACCACACACCCACCACTCCCCACAACCACACCTACCCCCCACCCCACCAACCACCAAACCACAACCCCACGAGTGCACCACCCACCACACCCACCCCACCCACCCCACCCCCCCAACCCCACCCCACACCCACCCCACCCCCACCCACCCCACCACACCCCACCCACCCCACCCACCCCCACCCACCCCACCCACCCCACCCACCCACCCACCCACCCACCCACCACCCCACCCACCCCCAATGTGACAAACATGTTTGCTTGCTGCTTGCCGCCTGCTTGTGAGGACCTTCCCCCCACGGTTCTTCAGTACTCTTGCTATCGCACTTTTGACTTGCAAGCTTTTATACATGTGTTGCAGCCATTACTCAATGAGTATTAATATTTGCCGGCCTACCTTTGGTCGAGCTTGCAAACCACAAACCAAGTGACGTCTATCAAATCTTCACCTTACCCGAAGACCATACCTGAAGGAAGCTGGCAGCATTCTTCCCCGCAGTCCAGGAACTGTCCCCATGTCCACACAAGACGACGCCAGCTGATGACAGGTCAAGGAGGAAGAAAGAGAATTGTTGCGTGGATTTCGGAAGATTGTTCGGCGCGAACGAGGCGCAAAGTAGGGTGTCGTTTAACCCCTTTGAGCCGGACACTTTGCAATCCGAAGCTGGGCGCAGGTTCAGAGGACACACAGCTACCAGCTGAGATTTTTGTGGTGCTGCTGGCAGAGTTTACCTTTGCATCGCGAAAAAAGACGTTCAAACTTCGAATAGGATCACGACCTACATGCAGGTGGAAAAGCGACAGAAATTACGAGATGAAGCAGAAGAGCTGTGCAGGATCCTGTCGTAGCTTTTCGAGCAATATGCACTGGTTCTGATTGGTCCGCGATGTCCGTGCCTGCAAGGGTTTGTCCAAGGTATCCGTGCCAGACCTTCAACAGCTTCTCCCGAACAATGGAAGCCTTAGCAGAGGCTTTTTGTGAGCTTGTATCGAGCAAAGCTTGACGGATGAAGTGTCGCAATGTTGCAGGCTTCGCAGGAAACCATCCAGCGCGTTGTTTCTCTGGTTTCGCGCGGCTCTGCTCACAGCATGGTATCGACTCGCATCACCGACCTGTTTGGACAAGCTTGTGCGAAACCATCACACCCACTGGCGGACGTGCCATTCGAAGCCTTTGTCGACCTTAGCTGCAATTTCGGTCGTTGTCTAGGACAACAATAAAACCTTGGCGAGTCGATGTTCCAGAACCCATCAGACTTGCCATCAAACTGGGATGTTATAACTTTGTGATAACATGCCGTGTTCGGTTTGCCAGATTCCTGAGTCTCAGATCTGATGATGTTTACTGCGCAGCTTCGTCGCTGACAATTAGGATATAGCATGGCGACGACGGGATATGAGTACAGCATAATTGCTTTCCAGGTGGGGCTGCCAGATGCTGAGAATGTTTCGTGTCAACCGCAGCTGCTTGGTCGCAGTGGTACCTCAGCAGGACTTACTCGAAGGCCGCCCTGGCGACAAACTCCCGGACTGGCGATGCAGAGCTTGGGACCCACAGCAAGAACTTCTTCGGGTTTGTTTGCCATTCCTTGCTATGTCGAGGCATTGTGCACAACTGGTAGAGGTGCCGGAAATGTGATGATTGAAAGGCCTTGTCAAGCTGAGTGTCGTGCTTCCGATTCGCCAGTCAGTAGCACTAGCAGTCTCGAGGCCAACTCAGATCGTATTCCTCGGCATGGCTTGGCTCTCGCGAGGCCTTGAAGCGACATGTGACATGTCGCTCTAAAGAGACATCTCGGAACTTCCTCCGAAGCTCAGGCCTTCCTGAAGAATGGCAGCAACAAGGTGTGTACGTCGTTTTGATCACCGAGGCAGCGGAAATGCCTCCTGTATCATATTCCAAAGCTCGCAACGGGAGCATGGACAGCAGTCTCCGTTTCGTCACAAGAAACGGGTCGGAACACGACATGACTACATCCCGTTGTACTCAAAGTGGGGAGGCAGACGAATTTGAGGAGGTTGGCTTCGCCCCCAGTAGACGGTTGTTGGCAACAGTCTCAGGCAAAGACTGCCAGAGGCGAGGCAAGGCTCTGCTGAGCTTTGACGTTGGTTACCCGAGGCCGTCAGCTACTGGCATCAGGCGAAGGAGAGATCCGTGAGAAGCTTCGAGCCAAAGGCGGCAACGTATCAGTCTTTCATATTTCACGGACCGGTAGGTAGTTGCAGATATTTGCAGATGCAGGCATATGCGACTATCTAATCCATCCTCTTTCGCTCGACAGCTTGTCCAAAGCCAGGGGCTCGATCGTGTTAACACTAAGACGCGGGAACTGCGGGAAGATGCGGGAAGCGTAGTAATGAATTGGAACATGTTGACCTACCGCGGCCATCTGTATGCTCACCTACCACATTGACTGTGGGGATTTCCTCTCCACACACACAGCAGATTCTGAAATTCTGGTACCCAACTCTTGAGCGGAACATTTTGCAGTTTCCCGAGGTTATAAGCAGAAACGGCTTGCCTTCCGTCAACATGCCGTCAAAGCAGATCAGGTCGTGTCGGAAGCCGTGAAGCGCAGATTGGAGGAATATCTGCTGCTGGACTGACACAAGGGGCCTTGAATGGAGTCGATGCTCTCTCAGTGACAGAACGCAAGTGGTAGATGGGTCACACGTTCTCTTCCGAGCACCTCACGTGTGGGCTGAGTGTGCAAGGTCTACTCGAGTTTACAGCGCACGGATGGCTCCAGTGGCATCATGTGGCATGTAAGTTGTGCAATTAAGATGTGAATTCAGAGCTGCTCTGGGTGCCAGATGTGGTGAGCAGCACGTTGTATACGGGCCTTGCGAGGACATATTGGGTCGTGGCGCCACGGCTTGTGTTCACAAGGCCGCAGGCTCAGAAGCTTGACAGCCAACCACAAAGCTGCAGCGCACGTCCGAAGGCCAAGCGGCTACGTGATAACGAGACTATAGCCTTGAAGGAGATCAACATGCCGCAAGCTTGGGAAGAGTAGCGTGGCCGCGCGATGCGCATCACAGCACTCCGCTGAAAATTCATGCGCTGAGGCGACGTCTCAAGAATGCCAACGAAGAGATCGAACGGGAACTGAGGTGACCATCTTGGATCAATTTGGAAGCTGGAGCGTACTGCTCCAGCCATCAATGCTTCATGAACATACAGGAGAAATGCAGTTGCTCTTCTTTGATCTTCTTCGCCAAAATGTTGATTGAATGGCGGTCTGTGTGAGTGCCTTTGGTAGAGCCTCCAGCTGGGAGCCATCATTCATTGTTGTCATTGCAAGCTGCATAACCTGGACGCTTGGGTAGTTCGAGAGTGGCAGGCATGACCTGGTGCGTATGACTACGAGGGCAGGAAAAGGGCCTGGGGGGTTCTGTTCCTGCAGGAGTGACATCAACTCGGCTTGGGGAGAGAGGATGACCAAGAAAAGCATATGAAGAACAGGCGAACACCGCCGATGCTGTGCAGGCGTCCTAATTGACAGGCCTTAGAACTTGTAGAACTGTGAAAAGTTCGATGACTTGAATCGTCATTAAAACCTGGTTCTGCGAAACGGTAGGCTATGCAAGCTGCCAAGCCTCAGCATCTCGTGCATAACATGATTTCATGCAGACCCACAAACGGACAGACACCCAAAGCTCCACCAAAATTCCACTCAAGTAGGGGCACCAGGAAAACACGTGTGAGCGAAAGTACAGATTATGTGGCCAATTCAATTTCCCACCAAAGGACAGCATTTCTGGTTGTGATGTGCAGCCATGATTTGTGACTGATCGCATCATCGCTCCGCTTGTACCTTTTGGCCAACCATGCTGGCTAAAACAAACGATCAATGACTCAACTCAGACGTTCAGACCTGGATTTTGCAATTCTCGGCCTTCGAGGATCTGTGACGTACGGGCATGACATGCCTATGTTCCTTACGCATTCATGAAACTATTCATATCAGAATTCGAGCAGTTGGCGCTTGCACCGGTCACGCTTGTGATGCACTTCTACTTCTTAGTTGTGCGGAGCACTGCCTGCCTAGGATGTTCTGAGCGATGGCAGGAAAACAGAGCTCACGATATCTGCGGATAGAAGTACGCACGCCCTCCGGTCAACATGCAGATTCTCCGTACCGATTTATGAGAATTGTGTCCAGGTTTGTTCTCCGGACCGAAATGAATCGGGAAAACCGAAGGGATCATCGGATTTTGCACTGCCTCGCATCATGTTTGGACATGTCCAAACCAGACTCAGTGTATAGACACTGACACTTCCAGGTGCAAACAAGACGCGGTTGGCAGCTTCGGACAACAGCTACTCTTCGATTGTGTTGTCGTAGTACGTTTTCATCGTGCCGGAGTACACCGCCGATGTGTTTTTGACTTTCTACCTATGGTGTGCGGAAGCTTGTGCCCTTGTGATTCGATCTGTATCATCTGTTTTTGGTCCTGATCTGCTGTCTGTATGAGGCTTCTGCGTGAGCTCAGTCCGCATCCTACGTTTCGTTTAGCAGAAGAGAAACAATCACATGGGGTGCCGAAGTACGAATGCTGAATTCTACTGCAGGCTGGCCAACAGTGGTTTTTACATTGGACACCTGGGAGAATCGTTCTGAGCAGCTGCTGGAACCCAAGCATTCACAATGTCCGCTTCCTTCATGTAGCGTGCTAATTGACAGATCTTTCAGGCGGTATGTGGTGATGCCATTGCTGGTAAGGGCCGACTGTTTGTCTTCAGAGTCGTTTGTCTTGAGATGTGGCATATGTGGCCTTTGCCAGGATGGCGGGAGCTTGTTACACCGGATTGAAGCCGCGCGAGGACTTGAGCACGAAGTATGGCGTGGAACTTCAAGAAACCATTCTTCCAGGAGCGGAGTCTGAAGAAGTACAGCATTCAGTCGAGCTTGTCGCAGATTGGCTTGGCTTCTCAGATGCTTCCGTGTTGAATCGAGCGAGGGCCAGAGCGCACTGTGAGTTTGAACTTCTGAAAGGTACGTGCAAACGCTCCATGGACTGGCATATCTTCACTGGCGAGGAGCAGTAACCCTAGCTACCATGTGCATGCTCTTCTGCCTGATAAAACCATCGCCGCGGGCTGCCATCCCACATTGTTGTCCAGAATTGAGGCCAGGTGGTAATCCGGAATCACCGGTGCTGCAAGCAAACCGCTCTCAGTCGATGTGGCGTGTCCCAGGTTGTTCACCGGGACATCAAGCCTGGAAACCTGCTCATCGCCGAAGACAGTCGGCTGTTGCAGGCTCCGCTTCAAGTATTGAGTGTTGTATGGAAATGCCTTGCTGCAGCTGTTCACGCCCTGTCGTCAGATCAGCATGAAAGTAGTTGTCAAGGAAACGATAAGGCATTTCGATGTGCATGCTTCGACAGATTGGTGACCTTGGAAGTGCCATGCTGCTTCCAGGGACTGGGCTGGGTGCTGAGTCCAGAGCGAATGTGCAGTGTTGGCTCCGTTTTTCGCCAGCTTGCTGCCACTGGCAGGCCTTTCCCGAACCCACATGCCAAAGTGGTCGCGCCCGTGACAAGCCCTTGCCTCTGGCTGCTTGCGCACGCTTTGCAAAGCACCATGCCTACAGATTTGAACTTTTCCACGGATTTTCGTGTGTCTAACGAGCTGTTTAAGTTAAACACGAAACATGCCCACCACAGAGAGTAGTCTGCCATTTGCTGGGCGAAGCTGCTTCATGCTGCTTCTAGCAGTCAGGCAGTGTTGCTTGAGCAGGTCCGTCATACGCAAGTCCCGAAGCTCTCTTGCAGGACCACAAGAAAGGATTACAATGGATTACAGAACGTTCAAGGGCTCGGATAGCCTTCAGTAGTGCCATCTGAGAGGAGACGCATTTTGCGGCGTCAGACCTCTGGTGCGTCAGTGGCCTAGTACAGGCAATTTTGGAGGCCCCTGCATGCCAGAAGGTCATTCTAAGCATCTGCGGGATAGTGCTGTGCTGCTAGCGAGGTCGGGGTCTCGTTTTTTGAGGCACTGACGCGCGAGCCTTGGTGCCCCATCAAATTCGATCGGAGCTTCAGCAGGCTAGAAAGTGCTCCGATATCTCTGCTCGATGCCCGACAGCAAGGCTTCATCCCATCTTCCCCGACGTGCAGAGCATGGCCGAAGCGCAGGTTGCCTTCGCTTCGTCCGCTGAAATCTTCTGAGTTTGTGGTTCGAAATGCCTGTGAGGATCACGTGCGTGCCTTTGATCCTTCGATGGCTGGTCCAACAAACGGTGCGCTACAACCTTAGCCAACCGACAGTGTAGCAACAGATGTCATTGACCATGGCGGCCGAATCGGTGCGGCGTTTCGATGTTGCCCCGTGCTTGCAGTACCAACTATGCGGTTGCCGCGCTGTCGACACTGAACCAGCTTCGTGGGTTGCCCAGTTTCGTGAAAGGGAGCATGGGCATGTTCCCCAAAGATTCTACATGAAGAGACGAAGGTTGCTCGTCTTCCTCGAGCCCGGCAGCTGTAGAGCTTGCCGGCGAGTTGTGCCTTCCTGAGCCATGCTTGGTATGCTTGAATCGACATCATGTCAGAAGGGATGCAGAAAAGAGCATACGTGCAAAAGCATCCCACTCCCTCGATGCTTTCTGGTACTCAGGCCTGAACTGGTGCGACCAGATTGGATGCAGAGGTGGTCTGCAGCATTCCAGTGACACCAAAGTACCACTGAAGTGAAACATGCTTCCTTCAGCTTTGTCGGGGAGACACTGCACATTCTGGGCAAGGCCAACCGCGTCTGGAATTGCTTCCCGTGGCGACTGAGATCTTTCCGATGTTGACGGCATTTGCATTGCAATGCCGTGAAGCAGATCTAGTGCATGTGTTCCAGAACTGTTTGCCAAGGCTACTTTTGCATGAAACGCATCAAGACAATTTTAAAGGAAACTGGTGCTGTGCCGGCACCTCGGCACCGTGCCGAGACCCTTTGCGAAGCCTTCCGGCAGTCGTCGCGCAGATTTCGCCATTCCGCCAGGCCGAAAGGCATGGTCAGCACCCACATGGAAGACTACAAAGCTTTATTGAAGCAGTCGCAGGCCTTGGCTGGCTTACAAAGCATGATTTTTTCCTTTGTGCAGGATCAAATAGAATAGCTTTGTAGTAGCGGTAGTAGTAGTTGTTGTTGTGGTGGTAGTAGTAGCACTAGTAGTTGTTGCTGTAGTACCACCACTACTACTACTACTACTACTACTACTACTACTACTACTACTACTACTACTACTACTACTACTACTACTACTACTACTACTACTACTACTGACTACTACTACTACTACTACTACTACTACTACTACTACTACTACTACTACTTACTACTACTACTACTAACTACTACTACGACTACTACTTACTACTACTACTACTACTACTACTACTACTACTACTACTACTACTACTACTACTACTACTACTACTACTACTACTACTACTACTACTACTACTACTACTACTACATACTACTACTACTACTACTACTACTACTACTACTACTACTACTACTACTACTACTACTACTTACTACTACTTACTACTACTACTACTACTACTACTACTACTACTACTACTACTACTACTACTACTACTACTACTACTACTACTACTTCTACTACTACTACTACTACCACTGCTACTACTAGTCCTTGTACAAGTATTGGTACAAGTACGCGTAGTAGACACTCCCCCCTACCGACCACCCTTCCTACATACTCTTCTCGAGCACAGCCTTGCGTACTCGGTATTTACAGTACTTTCGTCATGTAGAAACATCTCATGAAGCCTCAAAAGCGACTTGTCGAGTTTGCAAACTCGAGCTTCGGATTTTGGACTTGCTTTTTGGGTGGGGTGGGGTGGGGGGAGGGGGGGGATGATGACGACATTGTTTCGCAGACACCTCGAACAATATCTCCAGAAGAGCCTTTTCACTCGGTATTTGCAGCACTTTGGCGGACCATCTATATACTTACTTCTTGACTTTGCGAGCATGATGTTGGGATTTCGGAGGGCTGTTGGAAAACGTTGAAATTGGTTGAAGGGAAGATTTTTCGGCATGATCACGACACTGTTTCGCGGACACCCTGAGCAACATCTCCACACCTGCGCACACACCACACACCACTTCAACAGCAAACCTTCCTACACCGAGGTTTGGGTTTTAGGGGTGTTGGCGGGCCGCTCCAACGTGCAGCTGGCATATTTGTTTTTAATGTTTAGAAGTAGAAGATGTTGCGCTTCAGGTTTTGAGGAGTGCCAAGAAGGTTCAGCACCTGCATTTTGCACGGTACTTGCAGCGTTTTCGTACTGTCCCACTTGTGGTTTGGTAGTTTCTTTCCCCGTCGAGCTTGCAACTCCATATGCTGTCGCAATTTTTGGGCCTGAGCCTCTGCAACTTCACCGCCTGTGACAGTTAAGGCAAGAGAGCCTCGGCAAGTTTTGCAGCTGTCACAGATAAGGAGTTTGAGCCTCTGCATCTTCTGCAACGGTCATTTTTCCGTTGATGGTGATGATGATGGTGATGATGGGTTCAGGCGCCTGGTGGTTGGTAGGCGGGGTGGCTAGTAGCAGTCGCAGTAGTAGTAGTTAGTAGTAGTAGTAGTAGTAGTAGTAGTAGTAGTAGTAGTAGTAGTAGTAGTAGTAGTAGTAGTAGTAGTAGTAGTAGTAGTAGTAGTAGTGGAAGTAGTGGAAGTAGTGGTCGTGGTCGTGGTAGTTGCAGTACTACCAGTGCTTTCTAGTACTACTAGAACTACTAGTACTGCTACAAGTCCGAAGTAGTGACAAGTATCTCGTAATGTGTCCGGATCGACGGGGCTAGCTTGAACTTTGTGGCCTAACCTTCTGTGTCGCTGTTTTCCTGTGGCTGGCCCCGTCGTGATTTGCCATACTTTAGTCCCCGCGGAGCTGCCACAGGTGTGCCAGTTGGGTGACAAAAACTAGTACGGCTGAACTACCAATGCTCCTAGTACTACTAAGACTAGTAGTTGTAGCAGTAGTAGTAGTAGTAGTAGTAGTAGTAGTAGTAGTAGTAGTAGCAGTAGCAGTAGTAGTAGTAGCAGCAGCAGAAGTAGTAGTAGTAGTAGTAGTAGTACAGGTAGTGGTAGGAGTAGCAGTGGGAGGAGGAGTAGTATGTAGTATGCAGGAGTATGTAGTAGTTTGTCGAGTATGTAGTACAGAAGTATGTTGTAGTGAAAAGTAGCATATAGCTTAATAGTAGTTGTAGTTGTAGTAGTAGTAGTAGCAGTAGTAGTAGGAGTAGGAGTAGGAGTAGGAGTAGGAGTAGGAGTAGGAGTAGGAGTAGGAGTAGGAGTAGGACTAGGACTAGGAGTAGGAGTAGGAGTAGGAGTAGGAGTAGGAGTAGGAGTAGTCGTAGTCGCAGTAGCAGTAGCAGTAGCAGTAGGAGTAGTAGTAGTAGTAGTAGTAGTCGTAGTCGTAGTCGTAGTCTGCAAACAGGGTTATAGGAGCGAGAGAAAGAGAGGGTCGTGATGCAAAAAAGGTTTAGGCACGAGCGCCCGGCGCACACATCGGTTTAGGGATGTTCAGGGTTTAGATGGGGTTTCGGGGCGCATGTGGCGCGCGCGCGCGTTGGTTAAGTTTAAGGTTTAATGATGTTTAATGGTTAGAGCTAGGGTTAGGGTTTAGGTTGTGCGGGCCCGGTGCGCGCATCGGTTTAGGATTTGGGGCTTAGGCCAGTCTTGGGGAAAAGCATTTTGGCAGTGTCCCGGTTGCTTTCTGGTCGTTTTCAGTCGGGCTTTGCTGCTGGATGGCTTCTTCCCCAACGAGCCTGCACAGAATGCTTGGGGGCCTGTTTACGGTGACTTCTGATGCTCATCGTCCTGTGCTGTGCTGCTCCATGCTCCCCGCCGCACGCGCACACGCAAGGCAAGGGGTTCGGGATCTAGGGTTTCGGCGTAGGGCCGTAGGGTTTTAGCGTCACCTGCAAACAGGGTTCTAGGGTTTGGAGTCCTGATGCAAAAAGCGCATCGGTTAAGTTTAGGTTCAGGGGTTTGGGTTAGGGTTTAGGGTTATGCGCATTCGGCGCGCAGAGTTTAGGGTTTGGGGCGTAGGCCAGTCTTTGAGGAAAAAGCATTTTGGCAGTTTCATGTGGGTTTTGCAGCGGTTCAATTTGTTCCTGTCAACTGCATATTGATTGCAGTGTCTGCCGGGGGCAAGGCCCTCGAAACCGGCGTGCTAAGGCTAAGGGGTGCTGGCTGCAGCCGGATGGGCGCGAAGCACGTCCGAAGACTCCACTTTGGCTCCCACCGGCTCCGGCTCTGTCTCCGAACGGGCCTGGCCACCACTTTCTTGTGCAGTGGTTGTGCCTTCGGCAGGGGCCTCCAAAGCCTTCGTAGCCTCAACCTCCGAAGCTGAGGAACTGCTGGGTTCAGCAGGCTTTGCAACTGGGCCCTTTGCTTTCGACTTGACAGCCGTCTTGCCCTTCAAAAGGCCCCTTGTTGGCTCGGAGGGCCTCCGAAGGTCTGGCTGTCATGTCCCTGTGGACCCCGAGGCCCTTTCACCCCTGGCAGTGTGGCAATGGCAGTAGTTGTATTAGTACCAGTACTTGTACTATGACTAGTCCTAGTAGTTCTAGTTGTAGAGTAGTAGCGGCGTCCTCTTCATCGAGGGAGTGTCCGACCGGACAAACCCCTCCTTATACTTCGACGTCTTCTTCTTCTTCTCATCTGAGTTCCTCTTTGTACAGTACGTTGCACCACGAGCTCAACGACCAGAACGACGACCCCCACCAGGGCACCCAGGCTCCGGGCAGTACCACCGAATCAACCACACAACCGACGATACAGAGGACAACCAACCCGAGGCCGATGGACCACGAACACGGACCTTGGAGTTTGGAGGACTTCCCTCGTCCTGCCCTGCCTCCAACCTATGACGAAGAAACTCGAACCTGGGTTCGGCTGAGGGACGACACAGAGGCGGAGATCAAGGATTACTTCAACAGCATGATACGTGATGGAGAAGCAGCCGAGGCCGGTGAGATGGCCCACCGCCTCCACGAACGAGCACCACGTGGAGAAACTCTAGTTGACCGACTTTACTGGAGTACGCGCCTTCAGACGGGGGGGCTCTGTGCCCGGATGGTGGTACGGCACCGACCCACAGGAGGCTGCCGCCTGGACCGAGCTGAACGGGAACAAGTCCGCAAATGGGAGACTGCCTTCTTCCAGTCGGCCTCCATCCAGGCAAGAAGCATCCACAACGTGCAGGTTTGGAGAGCCGAAAACGCTCGGCGTCGGGCCTTGGAAAATGCGACTGGCGATGATGAAAGACGAGTTCGGTCTCGAGTCGGGAATGGCCCGGAAGATGATTCTACAAGCCTGGTGGGCACCTCCCGCACTTCCTCCCGCCGGCCCCACCGATCCGGAACTACCCCATCCCATGGTCCAAATGGCTCGTCGTGAACTCCCGTCGAACATCGACCACGCCGACAAGCAGAGCAGAGAGCAGAACCACGGTACCAGCGGTCCGTCTCGCGGAGCGCTGTACGTGTGCTGACGGAGCCATCGCTGTGTGGAGCACTCTTCTGGGGCTCTCAGCCCCGCCTGGCGACAGCCTCCCAACCATGATCCCGGAAGCCATGCAAAATCATGCAAACACAGGTGGCCACAGCCATCGGAGAAATGACTCCGCGCGCGAGGGGGTTGATGACACGCAGCCTTCCTCGGTGTCTCAATTGTGCAAGACGAGCTTCTGGAGCTGATCAGAAGCCTGGCGACCTCTGAACAATCAGGTGCGACAGGGAGTGGCAGTGCAGCCTGACCTACCACATGAAGTGCACAGGTGGCTCCCGGGGGCAACACTCAGACTTAATTTAATATCTTGAGAAACTGCGGAGGGGGGAACAATGGACTGCTGCGTGTGTTTCGCAATCTCGTCCTCCTGCGTGACTTGGACTCGTACCTGGCCTATGCGGAGCCCTTCTTGGCTTGGATAGAGGCCGGCATGAATGACCCGGAAAACCCCTACGAGGTGCCTGGCGACAGAGAGTGGGCGACTTGGGTCGAGCCTCTTTTGTGGGAGGGCTGGGTGCAACAGATTCGACCTGCGAGCGGGGTTCGGAATGTGACCGAGTCAGTCGGAATCTTTGCAGCTGTTGATGGGGTCCGGGCTGGACGAACCACCTACAAAGTTCTTCGTGCAGACCAGTGGACGGCCTGGCCGTGACGGCCTCATTCCCTCCCCGGTGCACAGCGATGACCCCCCCAGTTCGGGCGAGAACGACCCCCCTGCTCAAATCGAAGACGATCGAAACGGAGGGCTACAACCTGTTCCTCGGGACAACGAGTAAACCACCCTCATGGACCTTTCTGCAGCCCGTGGCGGCCTTCTCTCGGCCATTCAGAGCATCGACCTGCGGCTGGCACCGGTCCAGGTGGAGGCTGCTGCACAGGCTCCGCCGGTACTACTCATGCGACGGCAGCAGGGCAGGCTTCCCCACAAGTATGGAAAGTGCAGAAGCCATTCTGGCCGCCCATGCCTTCGCCTGCCCCCTGTCGGATGATGGAGCGGAAGAGGGCGAATCTCGCACGAGCACGCAGGCATGGCACGAGGCGGAGGAGCTACGCGCCTACCAGGCCAATGAGGCCCGGATGATGGCATACTGGGACGAACAAGATGCTCTGCGAGAACAGGAACAACGGAAGGCCCAGGCGGCACAGAGCTGGGATGATTGGGCCTTGTACGATGCCATGCAGCGTGGAGGTGAGGTCCAACCCAAACGGCGAAGACTGGTGGTGAGGACCTTCGCGACGGAGGTGCACAGCGAGCCGGCCACGAGTTCCCATGAAATCAGCCTGCCACCGACGGGCATGGTACAGATCCTGCTGTTGCCGGATGATCAACACGGGGAGGCTCACAGTGAAGTTTCCACCCGACTTCTCGCCGAACCAGCAGTATGGCCAGAGGGAGTGTTGGCAGGTCAGAATGCTACCTAGGCACCGTGAGTTCGGGGTTGGACATGCCGGATACACATCTGGATGAGCCTGGGACGGAAGGTGACAGTGGGAGCCCTCACAACGCCGGTCAGGTTCAGGTGGAAATGAATGTCCCACTGGAGTTCGATAGCAGTGAGGTTCTGGAAAGGGCAGATGCGAACACAGTTGATCGTGAAGAGTCGTGAGCACAGATAGAGGACATCAGAGTTGACTCAGCCTGTTGGAACTGGACACACACGCCTAGCGGAAGCACCGCTTTCCGACTTGCTGCAAGGACGAGAAAGGAGTGTTTAAAAAGGGAGGAGTAGCAGTAGCAGTAGTTGCAGTAGTAGTAGTAGTAGCAGTAGTAGTAGTAGTAGTAGGAGTAGGAGTAGGAGTAGCACTAGCAGTAGCAGTAGCAGTAGCAGTAGCAGTAGTGTAGTCGTCGTCGTGGTGGTACTAGTAGTAGTAGTAGCAGTAGTAGTAGCAGTAGCAGTAGTAGTAGTCGTCGTCGTGGTGGTAGTAGTAGTAGTAGCAGTAGTAGTAGCAGTAGTAGTAGCAGTAGTAGTAGGTAGTAGTAGCAGTAGTAGCAGTAGCAGCAGCAGTAGTAGCAGCAGTAGTAGGAGGAGGATGAGGAGAAGGAGGAGAAAAGGAGGAGCAGGAGCGGCAGCAGCAGCGACAGGTGGTAGCTTCTTGGCTCTTCTGCCCTCAAATCCTGGCCTAAATTAAGGCCTCGTGCCCAGCTCTTCCTTTCACGTGCTTGGTAACCAGGGGTGTGGATGTAAGCCTCCCGACTACAACCACATCAACACAGTAATCAAAGCAAAACAAGGCACGCCTCCCGAGCATGATGAGCAGCAGCAGCACCACCACCACCACCACCACGACCAGAATTGCCATTGCCACTGGCTTTAAATGTCAACGAGATACTGCATCTTCTGACATCTTTACCTCGAGCAATACTCGTTGCAGTAGCAGTAGTACTGGTAGCAGCAGCCGTCCCCGTAGTAGTTGTTGCTGTTGAAGAGATAGTCGTAGTAAATAGCAAATCGTAGGTAGAATTACACTTATTGTTTTTCTCGTCGTTGTTGTTGTCGTTCGTAGCACGCGCTGCGACCTTCGTAGCACGTTGCCCGGAGTACTTATAACTTACAGAGCCCCCTTGAGCCTTTCGAAAGCCATTTTTGCTCGCTTTGCAACATTTCAGGCATGTTCAGGCGAACTGCTTAAGGTCTGCGATCTACATATTCATTTCACCAGTGGTTCTCATGGCCCCGGTTCATGCCGATCTTTTGGTCTAGGTTTAGGCATGTCTCCGAGCTCCTCGACGTCGAGAGCGGGTGGGCAGGGTGTTGAATTGTGGGGGCAGGACCTGGCACGTGCAGCTTCCTGATGTGTTTCATCAGGAACACCGGGCTAGCTTTTGTTGCCTCTTTGTTAAAATCCAGCTCCGTGGCCAAAATCCAACCGGAAAAAGCTTATATAATTCGCCTGCGTGAGCTACAGGAAACGTGGACATGACTCTTTGCTGGAGCGTGATGTGTGCATTCGGTGGTAACATCTCGCAGGCTGCGAGAAGCACCACGCCAGATGCAGCAGGTCTGCAGCCTGCTTGGCGCCAAGACTACTCTCTTCCAGCTGTGGAAGTTGTCTCTCCATGATCTCCAAGGTTGACTTGCCAGTTGGCCGTGGACGTGGGCCACGCCAGCGTTAGAAGTGAAGCTATGTTCGGGGTGTGATCACCGAGTGATTTACCACCTCTTTTTTCTGTACAAAGCACTCCAGAGCCATGGGTTTGCCCTTATTTTGTGACGTTCATGTTTAGGTTGTCTGTGGAGTTAGCAGAAGCGTGGCCACCCATGTGACGCATCTTTACTATGTCCATCGCCTCTCAAACTGGGGAGCTGCAGCATGCAGAGACAAGGTGCAGGTTCCGCTCGACACTGAACCATGCACAGTTCGCATGGCTTCGTCCCCAACCAGTGAGCTTTTCAGGCTTGCCAGCTTGCTTACCTGACCCAGCACAGGTTGCGAAGTTTCGCCCGAGCCATTTTGCTCTTGACACCTTCGATTTGCCGGGATTCTGCCGACACGGTTCATGAATGTCATCAATTCAGCGGAAGCGACATAATTGGATACGATTCTCGGCATCTGCTGTCGAGATAGGGTCTCAAGTTAGGTAGCGGTCAGTTCGGTCGGCCGCCACAATGGCTTTCTCGTCCAGACTTAAGGCAGCCGCTTGGTGAAGTTTTCTCAGCGTTAACATGTTTGCAGGGGCTATCTCAGTTCACAGTTCCTAGCGCTGGAAACTGTAAAACCGGCCTGTCCTCGATTCCAGGATGCGACTTCGAGCTAAGATAGATGGATCGAATCTTGGAGAGTACTATACACCACGGCAGCAACAGCTGGCAGACAGGGTGGACAAAGCACAGGTCAACTCATATCGTAGGGTTATCCTCGCAGATCGACTCCTCAAGGTTATCTTGTGGCCGTGCAAAAGGGCAGACACCATGCCCACGTGACCGTGGTTGACCGTGGAGGGGCACAGTCGGCACCCCGCCCCCTCCGAAAGGGCACGGGCTCGACGAACGACGTTTGCGACGTCCAAATCCGGGCAAAGCAAAGCGGAAAGGCAAGTGGCTCGCGGGAAGCCCCCAAGGCCCCCAAGGCGGCACTTCACATGTTTCCCTATGTTGCTGTCGTGCCTCTGATGGCCCATCCATCTGAAGGATTGTTCTACGGACAGCACGGTTGGCGAGTGTCATTCGATGTTCCGCAACCACGGATACCGAAAGCCAGACAAGTTTCCAGACCAAGCATCAGGTGTTTCTGCTTTCGCCCTGAGGATTTGGTGTCGGGGTTTGGGTTGGGCTCAACGGTTGGGCTTTCTGACGAGACTCTGAGTCGTCCAAGCGGGCATTCCGTTGACTTGGGAGCAGCAGCACGACTCAAAGTTTTCTGGAGAAGCAAGTATTGGAATCTCGGCATCCAGCAAGGTCGAGCTGGGACCATGAATTTGCTGTTTGACGCCTGCAGGTGCAGCCGCCCGGTCCGGAAGATTCGGGTACCCAGGAGCGTGACACCGTTGATCCAGTCGAGGGTGGAAGAGTGCAGACCATTTGAGGCACTATTGTCACTATTGTTCGTGCAGCTTCCATAGCACTTTCCTCTTTGGCTGCAGTTTGGCATGGTGTTGTGCTGACGGCACTGGGTTGCAGTTGAGGAGCCTTGAACTTGGGCTCAATTCGGAAAAGTCCGAGCTGTAACGGCGCTGCATTGCTAGTCTGCTATGCATTGCGGCCTCTGGCTCATGCTGCATCATCTGTTGAATCGGCCAATTGCCAGAGGACAGTTTCGATGGCTTCACAAGGAAGCAGGAGGCCTGCTTGCAAAACACTGATCAGCATGGCCTGAAACTGCAGATTAGTTTCGCCATCGGGTGTTTGCCAAAAACCCGCAGATTTCACAAAGGAGCTTGCTGACGCACGCAGAAGAGCCGCTGAGGTTGGGCCGGTGGCAGCTGCAGCTGCATCAACGGCACAACACTTGCACATTGACATGTCAGGACGAGGCCAGACGCGAGGAGTACGAGCGAGAGAAGGCTGCCACAGAGTTCATAGCACACAACACGTGCCTTTCACATCTACAGCTAGCAGGCTCGACAGGCTACAATCGCCAGGCCTGGAGATGCGAAAGAGTCGAAGTGCCATGAAGTCGCATCAGTCAGGTCAAAGGAGGAGGCTGCCAGGACTAAGCGGCTTTCTCGGATCGCATAGGCTTGCAGGTTGCGGTAGCGCAGGAGAGCGGCCCGCAGTATGGGGCTCGATTCGAGCCAAGCCAAGCTCTGAGTGCCCGCAAATGATGCTTCGAAGATCTCAGCAGCCGTTTCGAGCAGAGAGGCGTGGACAATGTGCGCCGTACATGTATGCACCCGGTTCCGCGAAGCAAGCTTGAGCCTGTTCACCCATATCCCTCAGACCAAAAAAAATAACTTTCGAGCATTGTCCGAGACATGGGGAGGGCATCCATGTTAACTGGTTGGAGGGTGCGATTGCGGCTGGGTTCAGGCATCCGCCAACACCCGGCCGCTGGGAGAGATTGCTGCATTTTGGGATGCTCTGCCGCGTGTGCCATTGCTATGCTTTCCTTTTGATCTCGTGGACTGGTTTTGGTCTGGAGCAGCTGGCCTTTCTTTCTGGCACAGCCACATCCGTGCTTATTCGGAGTTCGGACAGCCTGCTATGTTGACAAAGAGAGCCAATCCGTGCTGTCGAGTCTATCTTCCTTCTGAGTGTCGTTGAGAAAACCCGCGCACAATTCAGCAGATGACATCGCTGAAACCAAACCGGAACATTCCGGAAACTGCTTTTCGCTTTGTGGTTTCGGATTGGGCCAGGCTTGGTTTGGAGTATAAGCGCTCGGTATGTATGGTGTTGTGTTTGATGTGTGAGAGCGTGCCCACTTCCTTTTTTGGCTAGCGCTTGGGAGGCTGGTCAATAGTACCGGTTTGCTTCTTGAGTCGGCTATTGAATGGTTCTTTTTTGCCGACATCCATGGAGACTTGCAACCAACTTTGCATGTGACGGCTTTCAACAGCTAGGTGCCGTTAATCGGCTGGATACACACACTGGCTCGCTCCACAGTACGTGCTGTGAAGGGCTTCCAGGAGCCTGTTGCAAAAGGTAGCAGGTAAACTGTCGCCGCACCTGGAATTGTCGCCTTCGTTTCCTGAATTCTCCAAGCTCCACTCGTGCACTATTCCAGCCTGATGTGCCTCACCGATCCCCCGAAATTGTACCTGAGCATGCTGGGGTTTCCCAAAGCTGCACCTGAATCGTTTCCGGGCTTCTGCGGCCAGAGTTGCGCCGCGAGCCCCCTGATTCATCAACCAATTCAAACTTGGCAAAACTGCCAATTCAAGATCGAGCACAGCAGCATCGAACTTTGGGGTTTATACTGTTTACATGCTTTCCTGTAGGCGAGGGTTTGCATCGATCACAGCGCTTGACAGGGTGGTACCCTTGATGCTGGTCAGCTCATGTCTGTTTCATCTTCGTGGTGTGCGTGTGTGTTGTTGCCCGTGCTGTTCACCTTGCGAACTGTTGCGACCAGTACGCGCTTCGTGCCTATCCTCAGTGACCAACAGGGCCTTTCTTCCATTCTGTCACCAACCGTCTGAAAGCACCAGGCCAGCTCACAGCTCAACTTACATGATGTGGGCACTCAAGCAAAACTACGGCAAAAGTGAGCCTGCACTCACGAGTATCTTACAGATCAGGGAAAGCCTGCGTTTCCTAGTCGCAGCCATGTTCTGCATCTGCCTGGGAAGAATGCAACCCAGTCTGGCCGGGAAAGCAAGCACATGTGTCATGACTGAGCGCGTGCATGCTCAAAGAGTGATGGTGCATCCATACAAGCGAACGGTTTCGTAGTTCCACTGCCTCTGCGCGTATGTGCCCGTTTAACGGACGTTCGCTGTTTTCCGGTGTCCTGCACTGAGTCTGCTGGACGAAGCGGGTATCCTGCACAAGCTGGCAGGACCTGCCCACGAAAGGGGAAGATGGTTAGATACAGACACAGGACAGACGAAGAGACACTGGTTGACAGGAACTCCACATTTTCATGGAAGAAGAGTGGCAGTGGTACAGACCAAGACACCCAGCAGTGGACGGCTTAGCCAAACAGCCTCGTTTTGTGGATATGTCTATGTGTGCGCCAAATGCGACCATCAGTGCACAGGAACGATAGGAAAGGACTATCTTTCGGAGGCAGCTTGAAGCAGCAGCCTCGAGTCTCCAGCCGAATCCTCTATCGTCGGCGCATGTTTTGTCGCTTTGCCCGAGGTCGGAGCCCAGTCGGCTGTCGGCTGATCCATCACGTCCGGACCACGACACCTGTGAGCAGGCACAAGTCCCCGCAGGTCTGGGTCCAAACCCGAACTTTATTGAAAAGTAGCCCTCTGCTCGCACATCCGTAGGCACATCCGTAGGCTGGTGATAGGTGCAGAAATCCATAGTTCAGCCCGTCACATTCCGGTCCCCTTCACAGCTCCATGCCATCCTCACAAAGAAGCAGGAGTGAAGCAGGCGTTTGTTTTTTCTTGCAGCCGTGCTTTGGAGTCTGCTAGTTGTACTCGGTTGGATGTTGCGGACGATCCAGCAAGGGTTTGCAGACATGAAGTCATCGATCCAAAACACAAATGTTCGACACATCCACGTGACATGACACACCGAACATTGTCGGGAAGGGTTTATAGGGGATCAATTGGTCGCCACACGAAAGATCCATGCTGGTGGCCGCAGCATGCCATCATGCGTGGTAGCCCTTTTTTAATGATGTTTTTTTTTTTTGTTTTTGTGTGTTCTACGCGTTGCTTGTGCTTTCCCGTTCTGTTGCTGCTTCTTTGCTTTTCCTGCTTTTTTGCTTTGCTCGTGTGCTCCTCCGCTTTTCGGCTGCTCTTTCTGACTTCTGTGTGTGTTTGCTTGTCGTTTTCTCCTTGTTCTTGCTTTTCCTTTACGGTTTTCTGCTTCTCGTATCCCCAAATGAGGGGCGTGCTTCATACATGTTCTGAATCGGGGTCGCCAAAGGAGGTGGCGAGTTCAAGCCACGTGATAAACCGGGATCGCCAAATTAAGCGGCGTGTCTAAAGTATGTGATGAGTTGGGCTCGCCAAAGGATGGGGCCTGTTGAGGACATGTGATTCTTAAGATCTGTGATCAACCTGGATCGCCAAAGGAGGGGGCGGGTTTAAGAATTGTGATCAACCGGGACCGCCACCTGAGAGGGTGTGACGAATCCGGATCGTCAAGTGAGGGGGCATGCTTAAGAAATGCGACAAATCGGGATCGCGCGAGGTTAAGACATGTGATCTGATCAAGCTGTGTGCCTGATGAGGGAGCAGGCTCAAGGAATGCGATCAGCCGGGATCGCCGAATGAGGGGGCGGACATGTCATGAACCGGGATCACCAAACGAGGAGGCGGGCTTAAGGAATGCGATCAACCGGGATCGCCTAAAGAATGGGCATGTTTAGGATATGCGATCAAAGGATCGCCTCAGGAAGGGGATTGTTTGAGACATGTGATCAACAACGATCGCCAAATGAGGGGGCGGGTTGAAGAAATGTGATCAACGGCGACAGCCAAAGGTGGGGTCGTGTTTAAGATATGTGATCAACGTGGATCGGCAAATGAGGGCGTGTGTTCAAGGTGTGCGATGAATCGGGATCCCCAAATTTGGGGCGATTTCAGATATCTGAGCACCTAATGAAGCCAACCCTAGCCCCAGACCCTCCGGCTCCCTGTCGTGAAGTGCGAGCACATTAGTTTTCGCTGAAAGGCGAACATGTTCCTACCCTAGCCCTAGACCATCCGGTTTGGTGGCGTGAAATGCGGATACGTTGGTCTACCATGCAAGCAACCACACTTCTCATGCGTGCCTCAACCCAGTGGCTGCAGCTTCAAATTTTTCATTTCGGCCGTGCTATGGTGAACTCCATCTGTGGAGGCCATCAGTGCGATGGTCTCGCGCAGCTACAACGGGATGAAGGAAGCTTTGCAGCTTCTTGGACTTCCGGACTGCTGGGAGCAGAGTGATATACGGGTTTGGATCGATACTTGTCTTTGTCCGGTGCAAACTGGCTGCCAGGACTATCCGCTGAGTTTCGTGCCAGGTAGGGAACTGAAACTTTGTGGGCATCACCTTCGCGAGGCTCCTGCTGTTCGCATGTTGGAGCTGCTGTCAACAAGATGTAGAGAGAGCTCTTGGTCCTTAGAAGGAGATCAACGAGATGATTCACCATTGGATGACAGATGAAAAGGACGGATTGCGTGAGCGAGGCTGTCCTCGTCTCAAGCTTCGGTACTGCCAGCATCCGAAGGATGATTTCTACAGCGCCCTGACGAAGATAAAGAGCATCGTGGCAAAGCCGATCCTGACCGAGGAGGAGCTCGACCTGTTGGACAGCAAGGCGGGCCATGGACCGAAGCCGCCAAGGTATTGGCTCTGATGGGATTTTAACTCGCAGGTAGCAGCTTAGCAGCTTCACCCAAGTATGCCGGATGCGAGCGCCAATGTTCCCCCCTCGCAAGTTTTGCAATGCTTCGCCAGCCGCAGTAGCAGAAGTAGGCCTGTCACCTGCAGAAGAGCGGACTGCGCACAAGTCACGGACGATGTTAAGCCGACATTTATCGTATTCTTGATTGCACAGTTTGATGGGACAGCGCGGTGATTTTCTCCGACACGGTTTGTACGACTCCTCCGGCACAGATAAGCAGATAGACCCATTTTCAAGGCAATTGAATCGGCAAGACACCAGTTCATCACGAATCCTGTGATCAGGTGCAGATTGAATTCCAGTTTCTTC